GTTATGTACATTTTTAAATATATATTTAACTTAAACAAATATCGATATTAAATATATATATATAATATATATATAATAGTAAATCCGTCACATGTCAAACTAGATCCTGGGTATTATCAGAATCATCTTTAATTTTTGCGGAATAAGGTCGATCCTTATTTACTTCATCAGCCACATAAAGATAATAATAACATGAGAAACCAACCAGTCCGTATGCTGTGACAATCTGGGTTGATTGAATATATATGTATATGAACAGTTTGTGTCAAAATAAACATTCTTTATTTCCTATTCTGCACTTGTACCAGTTTCACTTTCTGTGTTGTTTGTGTTTCTTTTGTCGTCTGCAGATAAATATCCTGTGTTGTGAACGTTTGACTAATTACACAGGCCTGCGATGGTTTTATTGTCTTGAAATGTTTACATGTTCTACAATAATTCCTGTACGCTGAATCCGAAAATGATATCCATTTTTCTCCATCACGTAAAATTTTTTCACAAAACGTCATAACACAATACATAGAAGAAAGACCATAACACGTAGTTTTGATACTAAAAGACGTAGATTTCACACACATACACAAATCAGGATGAATGAGGATGCATATTCGTTTGACATCAATGTTCTCCTCTTTCCTTTTGTTTGTTTGTGTTTTTGTTAACAAACATAATAATAAAAAATGTTCATTGTGGTAAACGAAATAATAATTTGATCTAAGTAAGAGTTGTTTTTTTTACCTAACTTGTAAAAAAATCCTTATGCGATAGAAAAAATGAATATTATTTTCAACATCTGCATAGCTGAATTATGGAAATTTCCGTTATTAAAACCAAAGCAACTTTTATGAAGTTTAAGTTCGCTGGCCCGTGTCATTAATAAAAACTTTTTACTTAGTTATGTAGCAAACTTGGGCACTTAAAATTGCATTCAAAGTATAATGTGATCAAAACAAAAGAATATATTTTGGTTGTTTGGTAGAGATTACTGTTTTTCTCCAGGAATTAATACAAACAGGAGAAATGAAAGCAGAATCATTACTATATAACTTGCTTGCCATTTCACACTTATTTCAATATTTCACTGTTATTTTCTAGTAATTTTTTTTTCTCTTCCAACATCTTTTTTCTGTTATATATTGACACTTTAAAAGTGTCCAGTCATGATTAGCATTTTTTTATTGTTTTCACTGTTATTTTCTAGTAATTTTTTAATCTTCCAACATCTTTTTTTGTATTCATTGACACTTTAAAAGTGTCCAGTCATGGTTAGCATTTTTTTATTGTTTTCACTGTTATTTTCTAGTAATTTTTTCTCTTCCAACATCTTTTTTTTGTTATATATTGACACTTTAAAAGTATTCAGTCATGATTAGCATTTTTTATTGTTTTCACTGTTATTTTTTGTAATTTTTATGTTACTCAATGCAAGGATGTGAAAGTTTGATGGATTTGATGTTATATATCATAGTTTGTAGTTTTGACAGTAAACTAGAATGATGACAGGGAGGGCAGTTAACTAAAATTTACAAGCTGCCTTTCATACATTTGAACTTGCTATAAAAAAACAAGTCTCAGAAAATGTTACGAAGCTTGATTAAAACGCATTTAAAAAGAAAAATTAAACTTTTAAGTTAGATATAAGGTATTTTGTAAGTTATATGTGGATGAAAGAGAATTTTTAATATATGCAGTTAAAATATTCTCTATAGCTTTTCTTTTAGGTAAGAATGTTATGTTCACATTTAAAGTTTTATTTTCTTAATTGAATGTATGTCATTACGTTTGAAAGGGATTAAACAATATTGTTACTAATTCTCCCCACCCCCAGCAACGCACAAGTCCTATGGCAGATGTGTCTGATGTATTTCAAGACAACAATGTATCCATGCATTATACACCTATAGAATGTGGATTAAATGGAACAGTTCTTTCATCTAGGCTTCAGTCAGGTTAGTGTTTGTAAAGTTGATTACTTATTGGTGTGTTTTAAAATGTTCAATTTTGTGAGCACTCAACTAGGTTTGCAGATGAAGAGTTATCACAAATTAATTTCAGGTTTTTTAATAATAAGAGACAGAGACATTATCATCAAAAATCTAAATAAGTAAGGTTATTACAAAAGTTAGAAAATATTTTGACAAATAGATAAGAACAAAGTTTTATTATCTATTCTTGAATGTTGGGTATTTTTATGACATAAAAGTTCATAAATCTTCAGAACAATTAGTTTGGCGTAATAGTAGTTTTGTGTCAGTGTACACTAGAGATACTATTTCACATTTTTAAGACACTCAAATGTTTGACAAAATATTTGCTTCTATAAAACAAACCACAACAAAGTGGTCTTGCTTACTTTGAGAAAGAAATTGTTCAAGTCAATCCTTCCTTTTTTGAGCTTAACAACAGGGTATGTACACTTTGAATATCAAACAAATCATAATCAAATGTTTCTTCAGTTTTTATATTGTTTCTAGACTTGTGATGAAATATCAAATAACCAAGGGGTATGTCTGTTATCTTGTTTATCAATGGTTGTATGGTAGTTTGCATTGTTAAAAAAGGAGTTAACCTTTTAAATTAATTGGTAGATGACTTGTCTGGTGTTTGAGTGGTCACTGGTTCAATCCAGCATGCTTGACAAGCGAAACTTAGATTATTTTATAGAAATTGGTACTCAGCTAGTGGTTGACCTAAGACCCTGAGATAAGGACCATGAATGAATTTTGTTTGTCAGGGTAAAAATAAGTTAGTTTGAATTGATATTGGGTTAATGCTTGAGCTCAGCTGTTAGGGCACTGTCATATGTGTGGGAGAAGCAAGAATTAGATGACCATGGTTGTTCTTATTTCTAAAGTGTTATACCTGTGGAAATGAACTTCTCCAATTAATAATGTATAAACATTTGTCTGAGATAGTATATGTACCCTACAAACCTTATTAAATATTGATGTTTCTGTATCCAAAAGGTAAGTTTCAAAGAAGGAGTGTTGCTATTAGGTATATCAAAGGTATAAAAAGTTGGAAACATTAAAAATGATTCATTGCGTGACAAAGAGAGAAAAGAAAACTAGATGTGAATCAAACAATTTTGTGGATTTATTTTTTTTTCTTTTTTACTTAGGCTTAAGAACAATTTCTAATCAGCCAATTCAGGTTGTTAATACTAACTTCACCTTTAGACGGGAATTTGAAAAAGCAAGAGAGGAGCGAGAGTTGACTGAACAATTAAGAAGGGTGAGTATTATCTTGATTCCACAAAAATTAGTTCAGTTGATAATTTGTTATTCTGAGATCAACTATTGACATATTATCAAAAAAATTCATTTTAATATTTTGTTATTCACAGTATCTCACAACCTGTAATATTGTCATAAAACATAATAAATAAGCACTGAATACTGTAGTAATTTCTCTAGTCACATATGTTTAATGTGATATTTTACTCTTGTCAGTTTGTCTGAATTCACTCTACTTTGAATATTTCTTAATGATTTGAATCAAACTTGAGAAGGTGTCTACAGTGGTTTTATAATGTGCATATGTTTTGGTTTATATTAATCCATAGTGAAGACTGTGACTTTTTTGAAGCTAATATGCCAGTAAATGCTTGTCAAAAGGTGTTGTTTTGTGACACCAAATTATGTTTCTAAATATGCCAAGAACATATTTATTAGTAACTTTGTGTTAAAAAATTAAAATAATTTTCAAATATGCAGGTTTGTTAATAAACAAGTTTATGGTTCAGGGACAGTTTGTAAAAGTATAGTGTAATAAAAATTCACCATATAAAACTAAATGACATTAAGCTAAACAATTTTGGACTTATTCCATAATTACCTGTCGTTTTCAGATTATAGAGTCTAGGCTGAAAGTGACACTACCAGATGACCTAGGGTCTGCTTTAATGGATGGGGTAGTTCTGTGCCATTTAGCCAATCAAGTACGACCACGTTCCGTTGGTAGTATACATGTGCCTTCACCTGCTGTGGTACGATATCGAGTTTTTCTGAAACTGATGAAACAATAACATGAGACCCAATATATTCCTGAATCTGCCACCTACTTAATGGACAATTCAAACACCATACATGTAAACTGCAGATCATCACAAGGCCTATCATTTTCCTAATTAAATGCATATGATGAATGTTTTGTTAAAATTAAAATCAAAATTCACAATTTTTGTAATAACAAGGGGACAAAAGTCTTGAAAATTTATCCATTGAAGAGTACAGAAGAATAAATTAATATTAGTTTTTTTCAGAAACCTTTATGAATATAAGTTACTTGTTATGAATAAAGGAGAATTTAAACACCATATACACATCTTTCTCTGTTACTAAGTTTATTATATAACAGCAGTATAATTTTTAAAATTATAGTTCGTTTTTCACCCCAATCTGTATGTACATGAAATATTTGTATCAGCTACATTTCATAAAAAAAAATTTCAGTTTTTGATTCCATTATTCACTGTGTTGTCTTTTTTTAGCCTAAGCTAACGATGGCAAAATGCAGAAGAAATGTAGAAAATTTTTTAGATGCCTGTTACAGGATTGGAGTACCTAAGGTAAGACTTCATGCATACTTTATAATGTTATTCTGTAATCTTTAGAAACAAGGAAAGTAATATAGTAGATTAAATTATGTGTGATTGAATATTGTTCAGAGAAACCTTTGCATTTGCTGGAAAATAACAGCAAATATATTTGCTTGTGTATTTTAATTAAAGCTTGAGCATGAATGATTTTAGAATCTGTGTTCATTGCATGAAAAGAAAAAGATTGTTATTGTTTTGTGCTCTGAGAGTTTTCTGATTTTGCTTGTTATATTTTGAAGTTTTATGCACATATATATGATAATATGAATGATCTTTGTTTTAAAAAGTATACAATAACATTTTCTTTGAAATTGCTTCTTGAATTTTCACTATCTTTTTAAATACTGTGTTGCTGCTGTCAATCACGTTTAAGAAAATCTTTTAATGCACGAATTCAAGTGAGATTGGCAACCATCGGCTTCAGAAAATTCTAACCGATAAAAAAATAAAAAATGCAGTGGTTCTAGACCATCATAAGCTTTTTGTTTTTAGATAATTGTAGCTTTATGGCAGAAGAATTCTGTACATGAGTACTTTGATGAATTAAACAATCCTTTGAAGGATGTCCTTATTATTTAACAATTTCATTGCACAAATATCCTTTCTTAGAAAGGGCTGTAATATGATCTATCAGCCATCAGGTTTTCTCGCAGCAGCATTGTGCTGTCAAGTGGGTGGAAATGCACAGTGAACCAAATAATTAGGTGCTAAACAAGTTATTATGGCATCTGTACAATTGCATTAACATTTGCAAATTTTACTAAGCCTAATTAACTCTTTGTAAAAACCATCATAAATAGATCAACTTAATAGTTAACTAAAAGTAAAGGTTTGTTTGTTCTGTATCTATATAATATTATCATTTGAATAAATAGGAATGACAAAAAGTCAGTACTTCTGTGTTGGAAATTAATTTGGTTTTCTTAGGACCTATGAATTTACCAGCCAAAGTAGAAGGTCACTCTTGAAGGAGTTGTAAAAATGAAATGTTATAAAACAACTGAAATATTTCTTTTGTAGGTAAAATAAAAATGGATTAATTTGTACTGCTACATTTCAGAATTTATGTAAAACTAGAAATAGTTCCAAACTTTACACAGATCAATCAAATTTTAATATAGTTACCAACAGAATATTCTGTAGTGTAAGTTGATTACTTGTTTCATAATAAGAATAATCCAGAAAATGAAGTCAGAATTTTCATTGTCAATAACACTTGGATAGGTGACTGCATGAATTTTTTTGTTTGTTTGTCTGTAACACGTATGTATGATAAGTAAAATACACACCTGATAATCTGTGTTTTCACTTAAATTTGGATACAGCATAAGATTGATTTCATAAATATACAGACCAAAGCCACATTGGGTTATCTGCTGTGTCCACTATGGGGAATCAAACTTCAGATTTTAGCATTGTAAGTGTGTAGACTTACTGCTGTCACATCAGAGGACTATAAATATACAAACTGAGGTGTTGTGAAGAAGTATAAAACAGAAAATGAATATGCATGCATTGGGTAAAACACATACATTTCTCTATTTATTGATATCTATAGCCTGACTTTTGTTTTTTGGCATGTTAATTATGTTTCTTTTCTGACTTCAACTTTGGCATACCAGGAAACTTTTCATCATTTTTCTTGATGCATTTCTGTCCTTTGAAGAAAGAAGTATTAACAATTTCTGGAACTTTATATTTCTTGCAAATTTGCATTTGTTTTATGAAAGAATTTATGTAATATAATACTTATGTATGAAAGCACATTATGATAATAGTAATAATAATTTTGTATGTTATATTGGTTGTAGTCTGTATTTTCTTTCTTAATCTCTAACAATTTAAAATTAGCATGAAGATTGAATTGTTTGACCCAGTTGATCTTGTATTCTGTACAAACAAAGTGTAGTTTTATTTCTATCGTTTGTTTGTTGAATTAGTTACAGATAAGTCATTAGATGTCAGCTTGTACTTTCTATTACATTCCAGATATATTATTTAATAGTAGGTTTTGATAAACAGGTGTAATGATTTTTCCTCTAATTTTTAAGAGAAACTAAAAATATACATTTCAAATATTCATAATTAAAGGATTCAGTTATTTTAAAACAATTTTCATGTTGGTTGAGGTGTTAAATATAGATCAAACATATGATAAGTTTTGTTCAGTGAGGTTTGTTTACAAACTTGAATAAATCATACAATGATTACCATTTACAATATCTCAAAGTTTATTGACTGATATTGAGAAATATCTTCAAAGATTAGGTTGAAACTATTATTAGGGGTGGGTGTTAATACCAACTACACCTTCCAAAATGTGGAGGTGGATGAAAAGTGTAACCTCCTTGTACAGTGCTTCTGAACATTTTCAATAGCAAAAATATAACACACAGATCACAGTTTTGTGGGTATTTAAGGATGAAATTCGGTTTTTATCAAGTATAAATGCATAGTAGTTTTGCAAGTTCTAAACACAGACCTTGCTGTATTACAATTTAACTATTTTGAGCTCTTTACCCAATCAGAATGAATTGTGTCATTTATATGCTTCATCCAATTTAATTTAGAATGTATGAACTTGATATGAAATATAAGACTTCAAATACAGTCTTCTGTTTTAAAGAAACAAGGAATACGCATACATTGTTTTACTTTGGTTCATGGTTCACCGTCACATAGTTTGTTAATACCAAAGGCATACTAGCATACATGTGCATATCTTCAACCATGATGCCCAAGGACATCTATTGCTCTGTCTAGATCGTCAATTGTAACTTCAGCATTTGAGACGATGTTTTCTAGATATAGTTTTAAATTTGTAGCATAGGTTTGCACAGGAAGCTTTTTATGATCTTTCATAAGTCTAAAAATATCAGTGGTCTTTGGCAGGGATAGAGAGGTGTCTTGCATGTACCTCACTTCTAAATATAATCTTGCATGTTGTAGTCAGAATCAAATTCAAGGTATTCATTGACTTGCAATGATGATGAAAATGGGCTTCCTACAGCTTTAAAGCTGTCCAAATCCTTGTTCATTCCTCTGTCCAAGGCAAGGTTAGCTACTTCCTTGTCTCCAAGACCCATCTTCTTCAGCTCCTCTTGCTTTGGCTTCCAATCCAGGTACAATTCAGGGATCACACTGTCTGTTCAAGCAAGCTTTTTATACTGTTTGTATGCTCACATGACAGTCTTTACTATTAAGTCCTTGGACTTTGATTTGTGCAGATGAAGCAGAGCTGAACTGCTTCATCCTCTTCCAGACAATTTATAATTGATAAATCCAATACTCCTCTCTGCATTGAGATTATGAATGGGAGCCTTTTTAGCTTTCCACTGACCATCTTGGACAGGGCATGCTATGAACTCTAATCATGCTCTCCAAATTAAAATTCTAAAATACTTTTGCTAAAGCAGGCAGTATTAGTCTGAGCAGCTTTAAAAAAAACCATGGCTTGTACTCTTGAGGAATTTTTTTCCAACAGTTTCACGTATCCATGAACTTCAAATACTGAAGTCAAGCCTTTATGACAGACTTAAAGGTAGGCTACTTTACATTCAAGAGTTTATGTAATTCAGCCTCCATCAAGTCAAAGTACAGCTCTTGGAAGGCTTGGATGAGTTTTGAGTCATTTGTTTCATTGGAAGTTGTGAGAGACAAGAATAGTTCAACAAGGTATATTCCTTGAAGTGTACCAATGCAAAACATCACTTTCAAAAAGTCTAGTTCCAAAAAATAATCAAACAGTGCATACCTGCTGATTGGTTACATGTTCAAACTTCTCCAGAAATAAAGCAACATTATCACAGTGGTAGAGAGTAATTTCATATGTAAGAGATAATTGGTTAAAAGTTCATCTTTATACTCACAGATCTGATCCTCTTTGGCAAAATGTGGCTGTGAAATTCATTAGCTTTTTTCCAAGGTTTGTGATCAAAGTCCTGGTTAATCATTCTTGTGATAAGCTCAAGGGTTTGCACTGGTCGTAGCATTTACGAGAAGGTTTGAATATCCTATATCATAAACTTCAAAAAGTATGTACAGGAGGGTGTTTAATATTTTGAAAAAAACATTGCTTGGTTTATTTTGACCCAGTGCATATATTCAGTGGGGGTAGAGCTTGAATATTGTAAAGAAAGTGAAATAACACCCACCTCTACTATTATTTCGACTGGGTTGGTTGATATATTTGAGATAGCTTTCTGTCTTTTAATTGTTTTAGAAATAATATTAATAAGCTTCTAAAGACAGTTCTAGAAATTCAAAGCAAAATCTAAATTTTTAGTTGTTTTTTTTTTGTGAAAGATTTAGAAAATGAGTTTATACACTGAAAATACTTGTTTTTATTTTACTTCTTAAATTATGGAAATATGTAAAAAGTGAATATTTTGTAAATTATTTGAGTGATAATACAAAATTGATCTCCGGTTGCTTTTGCATGATGTGAGTAAAAAAAAAGTAGTTTTTTTTAAGGATTTATTTTGTTTTCCATTCCAAAGCATAATTAACATAGTTTACCTAATACTACTAACATATCTATGTAATTTTTTGTTTCACATGATTAACAGCATTAGCTGACAGAAGTTCTGTTTATTGGGTTTCTTATTACAGGATAATCTGTTTAATTGGGAAGAGTTAGTCATACAACGACATGTGGCCTATGTAACCCACACTGTCCAGAACCTTCTGTCAGCTACCTCACCTCCTAAGGATGTAGTCTTCTCTTGGGTCCTCTTGGTGGTGTTTGTGCTCTCTTGTATGTTTGTGTACATTTGTCCTCCACCACCTTGATACCTTTTTCCACTCTAACTAACCTTCAAGACGACTAACTCTCTTTACTATATGAAACAAATGACTGCGTGTAGCCAACATCTTTGTACAACCATGATGTCTTTTTGAGAAGCAGTATTCCGAGTGTTGTCAACATCTTACCTTCCATAAACCTAATGAATTTTCTTAAAATATCTGAA